CGAAGTAGTAGACCTGAGGGACGCCCTCTGTGGAGGAAACACGTGTGCTGGACGCCTGGAACCCCTGCCCGCACCACACCCCGTGCCCGCCTCACCGGTGGACATGCCTCGCGTCCCCGCCTCACCTGCGGTGCTAAGTTGCTTGTAGAAGCGGTACTCCAGATGCAGCTGCGGGGCCCGGGACTTGATGGGCTCCTGCGGGACAGGGGACTGTTACCCGAGCCCTCCTCCTGGGCCTGGGGTGCACGGTGGGGCAGGGCAGGGCAGGGCAACACTCACCAGCTTGATAGCCACGTACTCGTTTGTATACAGGTTCTTTCCTGGGGGAGGGGTGACAGACAGAGCATCAGGATTGTGGGCTACTGAGCCCATCCCGCCCACGTTCCACGGACGCAGCAGCCTGAGGCACCCCTCCCAGCTGCCCAGGAATCTCCTTACTGTATGCAGTCATGGGGAGAGGGCTCCCTTGGGCCCCAGCAGGTCCGACAGAGCCCCTCCTCGCATTGGAGGCAGCCTCACAAAACCACACCTACTACCAAGATGGCTGCTTGAGTGGAGGTGGCGCTCAGGCCTTTGATCCCACCCCGAGGTATCCAGCAGTTCCACACAATCTGCCTCTCCTGCAGGGTTCACATCTGCCATACCCCAGCTTCCCAGTCTCCAGTTTACCTCAGCATCACTAATCACAAAGGCCACCTCCAGGGCCACATACACCCCTGTGGCTGCACCTGCCAGCCCTGAAGAGAAAACATGTTCCTGCCCCTACCATAGTGGCACAGCAAGGTCAGGCTGGGTCCAAACTGCCTTAGCAGCTGCCAGAGCCTCTGCTCCCAGTCACAGCCAGCCATCAGCTGTGACACAGCCCTCTGTCCTGATCCCCAGCCACCCAGCAGGGATGCCCACTCCCTGGCTTTTTCCTGGACCTCTCCATCACCCATGAGCTACCAAGCCCTTGCCATCAGCATGTGGCTGGTCTACTGACCCAGGCCAGCTCAGGGCCTGCCTCTAGCTGTCTCCCTTTGGCAGTGATAGCTTGGCATCTCCTGTGACCCACCAGAGCACCCCAGGTTGTGTGAGGTGCAATGCCATGGAGTTTCTTCACAGATGGTCCGAGTCTCCATCGGTCTGGTCTCCACCCCTCTACCTCACAATAGCCTTGCAGGGAGGCGGGGCCTGCTTTATGCTAGGTCAGCTGTCACTAGGGAGGGTCTGTGTAAGGGTGCCCAAGTTCCCCTGGACTGTGCCTCTACAGAACCATGGCTCTCACTTGCTGGGAAGTCGGGCTCCGCTGAGCGGATTCCAGTCTCATCAGCTGCGACTGTCAACACCTTCCCATGAGCACATGTCTCCAACTTTAACCACCTCAGGGTCACTTATCTTCTGTGGCCATTCCCCTGGGGCTTCCGCTGACCCAGCCCTGACCCTCTCTGCTGGCCCTAAGCCAAGCCCCTGGGGACCCAGGACTATGCACATGACAGGCACTAATAAAGGTCCTGGTGGATGTCAGTCCCACACAGGCTTAAGTTGTAGACACCCCAGTTATGTGGGGCGTGGACATTCTGAGCCCAGTGTGCAAGTGAGCCCTCCATCTCAGTGTGAGGCAGCACCTGGAGGCCAGCCAACAAGGAGCTAAGAGGCTCAGTGTGGAGCGCTGCTTGGCATGCAAGCTGACAACCTGAATTCAGGCTCCAACAATCCACAGTTGCCTCTGACCTCTGCAGGGATATACACAACACTTTCCCTTAAAAGTGGGAGTGGTTGGGGAGATGGATCCGGGTACAGGGCCCAGGGCTGACATCTACAAGGGGTCTCTCAGCTGTCCCTTTAACTCTACGGGGTGTAATGCCCTCTTCCAGCGTCCCTACTCATAAAGACAAACACCCATACACATAAAACAAAGTTTTTTAAATCTTAAAAAAAAAAAAAAAGTGCACCGGGCATTGGTGGTGCACGCCTTTAATCCCAGCACTCGGGAGGCAGAGACAGGTGGATCTCTGTAGCCCAGCCTGGTCTACAGAGCGAGTGCCAGGATAGGCTCCAAAGCCACAGAGAAACCCTGTCTCGAAAAACAAACAAACAAAATGCATGGGGGGGGGGAGGCTAGGAGTGGTGGTACACACTTAATCCCAGGTGTTTCACTGAGATCTGGCTAGCTTGGTCTACATAGTGACCAAGTGACACACAGTGGGACCCTGTCTTAAAAAGAAAAGTGGGGGGTGGGGGCAGGAATTTGGCCCTGTAAGAGGAAGAAAGTTGCACAGACATAAGGGCTTCAATTTTCCCATTTAATGAACAATTATCTCTACAGATCCAAGGAGCTCAGTAGCCCCAGGCCAGATAAGCAGACCTCTTGGAATAAGGAAGAAGGGGCCAGGAGTAAGTCCACCCCTGAAGGAGGTGAGGGCTCAGGCAAGAGGCACCCCATTCTCACCAGGGAAGCCGTCACCTTCAAAGCCTTTTCTCACTTTGTGGGCAGGGGGAGGGAGACAATTTCTCACTTTGTAGCCCGGGGTAACCTGCAACTTAGGGAGTCTCCTGCCTCAGTATTCTCAGGGTTATATTGTTATATTAGAGCTGGGGTGGGAAGGGGGCTGGCTTACACTAAGCACACATCACCACCGAGCCACATCCTAACCTGTATTCAAGGTGTAAACAGCCAATGGGCACCTGAGCAGCCAGTAGTGAGGAGGCCGGCCCTGTACTCCAACAGAGGTCAAAGTGCACAAGCTGGTTGCATCCAGAACAGGGAACACCAACCATCCCAGAACATAAGCCCAGAATCCAACACACAAGCTCCCACACGGGGTGCAATGGAAACCATTTTGGGACTTGCTCTGCCCAAGCCCCCTATACAGATCTCTACAGGATCCCAACTGCCTGAGGACAGGAGACCTAAAGTGCTGCTGGCCACGTGCACCTGCATGCATGCGCTCATGCTTGCCCACACGTGTGGCAGTGGATTCAGGTCTGCAGTCTGATGTCTCTGCATCATGGTGGAGAAAGCATTTTCAGCTGGGCCTCGGGAGACACCTGAGGTTGCAGACTGCAGTCAGAAGGCTCAGGCTGAGGCCACAGAGAGCAGACCTGCAGGCATCCCACCAGGATGGGGTCTCAAGCTGGCCTTGCACAGCCAGTGAGTGCAAAAACCAACACTACCTTCCTACAGGAGACGGAGGGCTGAATGAGCTCATGACATAACTCATGACTGTCCCCTCAGTGTCCACCAGACTGACTTGATGGGAACTGTCACCTGGAAGGTGGGTCAGAAGTGGAGGGGTAACAGGTCTGGTAAGGCCCACACAGGCCCACTGGGTTCGAGGCCCTCAGCTATCTGCCTTTGAGGTAGGGTCCATCTGTTCCCCAGGCACTGCTTTCCAGGTGGAGGTCTAAGGACCTGCGCTGCCTGATGTGATGTGTCTAGCACAAGACTGCCCATTTTATTATGTTTTTAAAAATGTATTTATTTAATGTGCATTGGTGTTTTCCCTGCATGCATGTCTGTGTGACAATGTTAGAGGTCCCCTAAAACTGGAGTCATAGACAGTCAGGAGCTTCCATGTGGGGTGCTGGGAATTTGAATATAGGTCCTCTGGAAGAGCAGCCAGCGCTCTCACCCTCTGAGCCTGAGCCATCTCTCCAGTCCCTTCTCTTTCTTACGGAATTGGATGGGGACAAGCTCCTGCACATAGGTCTCCCACAACTCTACTCGGATGTGACACTTAGGGGGACCTTTGCAGCACTGCTGCAATCTAGAGGGGCACCCCAGGGCTCTGCACCATGCCCTGTGGACCAGGTCTGCCAGAGCCTGAATGGTGACATGAGCCACTGGAATAGGTGCTGGGCTCTGCAGTTCAGAGGCCAGGGAAGGGAAGCTATGACACCATCACTAAGCCTCTTTCTCTGCCACTGCAGGTTACCCACCACAAAGCCAGGGCCCTTCCTCCCTTCTGAGGACACTAGTAAAGGACTGGAGACAGTGTACGCAAACTCACCTAGGCGAAGCTCTCCGAAGTTCCCACAGCCTATCTTCTTACCGACTCGGAAGTTGGGGCCCACCATCAGGACCCCTGAGCTGGTCCCCGAGCCGCGGACGCCGTGGCTGCTCCGGCTGGTGCCAGTCTTGGACATTCTCCGGCCCTCCTCCAACTCCCCCTTCCCTCCTTTCTTGTCAAAATCCATAAGTTTGTGGTACCCTGGCCTCTCCACGGTGACTCTGCCGTGAGATCCGAGTGTGAAATCTGAGCTCGAGCCCAGCCTAGTACACCATTGCGCCCGGTGGCCCCTCGGCTCCTGGTTATTGACACCCGGGCACACTCGCAGGTGGGGCCTCGGTGCTCATCTTGGTGGCCTCAGGGTCGCTTGCAGGGAGAGAAGACATTCTACCAATAGGTCCCACCGCCTTAAATCTCGTGGTGCCCAGCTGTGAAGAAACAGAGGCACAGGTTAGCAGACAGAGTGGCTGATATGGTCCTAGCTGGGCTGCTCCACAAAGACCTTTGAAGGTGTGAACAAGAGCTCTCCTGGGAGGGAGGGACATCTGTCTCTGAGGGAAACACACATGCCCTGCTGACCCTGATAGAGGTCAGAGATCACAGCAAAGGTTACTGTGGTGTGACCAGGGAGAGGCTGACAGAGTTAGAGACTGGTGTAGTCATGTGCCCTACTTGCCACAATGACTGTGCCATCAAGCGGCACAAGCCCCTTGGGAATCTAAAGCAAGAAAGGAAAGCCAGATCCAGGATAAGAGGTGACCCACTGCTAGGTGATGGTGGCGCATGCCTTTAATCCCAGCACTGGGGAAGCAGAGGTAGGTGGATCTCGGTGAGTCCAAGGCCAGTCTGGTCTACAAAGCAAGTTCCAGGACAGCCTCCAAAGCTACAAAGAAACCCTTTCCCGAAAAAAACAAACAGGTGACCCACAGGCCAGAAGACAACAGGGGCTGCCAGGACAAGGAAAGTGACAGATGGCAGAGCAGATGGTGTCCATATAGTCAGGAGCCACACTGGACCTAAGAGGGTAGGTGAAGGGACTCCAACCATGCAGGCAGCCATGGCAGCAAGACACAGCATGCAGGGCTGGCTGAACAGGGAGAGCATGGTAGGGCCCTGGGTGCCCACCCCTGCACCCACAGTCACAGCCCCAAAGCTGTGGCTGTCTTTCCAGGTTGCCAGGCCATCCACATAGGCCGGCTCGGCCAGCTTCTGGAAGTGCCCAAGAACAGGCACTCACTCCTGGGTCACAGAAGTCAGGACAGAGATGGTGATGATGAACAGGGGAGGCTTGGAGCACACACAGCCCAGCCTGACTGGAGCCTACCTCTAGGCTATGCCAAACCTCTGCAGGCACAAGGGGTTACGACAAGGGGGGTTCCTACCTCTAGGCTATGCCAAACCTCTGCAGGCACAAGGGGTTACGACAAGGGGGGGTAGGGGTAGGCACTGTGGCACCTGCTACAGCTGGGATCATTTCTGGCCCATGACCAGGACAGTGAAAGTGTCACACAGTGCAGGGTCTCATGAAAGCTAGGCCAAGAACACAGCCCCAATGGAAGTCATGGTAGGCTTCTCACACCTAGATTCTACGACCTGCAGGAACGCAGAATGTCTGGATGCAACTTCTTCCCACCTGTCTGACCCTTACAGAACTGCTGTGACCTCACTGTCCACCTGTATACACTTGGGCTCTTATCTGCATTCTGGTGTCACCTGTGGGTAAGGCACAGTGTCTGTGTGCCCATGTGTGACCACTGTTTTCAGTGAGGGTTTTTCTCTGAACAGGTCTCAGGAGTCCTACTGTCTGCACCTCGCTGGGTAGCCCAGGCTGCCCTCAATCTCATAGACCTGCCAGCCTCTGCCTCCTTAGTGCTGGAATTGGAGATGTGGCTGCCACACTTGCTTCTTACGTTGAATGCTGGGTTACACCCAGATCTCCACACTTTCAAGACAAGCACTTTACCAATGAAGCCATCTGCCCAGGCCTTGGGTTTTGTTTTTGAGACAGGGTTCTCCTGCCTTAGACTTTCAGCTGAGTTCACAAGTGTATGCTACCACAGCCAGCCATGCAAGGGCATTCTCACTCACCAGGCCATGTGTGTTCTTGGGGGCACATTTGGAGAGGCTGCCAGCCTGCTTCCCAGCTCAGCCCCCTAGCATCCCATCTCCAGGCAATGATTCACAGGTTTGCTTGCCGAGTCCTATTTCTACACTGTTCTGCTGGGTAGTGCTTAGGAGCCAGCCACTAATGCAGCGAGGTACAGAGACCACACCAGCATCCTGTACACTCACTGACAGTGTCCCACGCCATGGCTCTCCTCACTGGGGGCATAAGGGAACCCTGGGCAGTCAGTCTGGCTCCCCAGTGGAAATGTCCAATCTCCCTCTTGGGTATGCAACAGGGACCTCTCCTCAAGATAAAGGGGACCACTGAAAAAACAGGAGTGGGGGGCCCCTCCTAGCTCAGATTCACACTGTGGGGTCCCACAGGGCTGGAGCCCAGATCCCCAAAATACTCCTACAGTGGCTCACAGCAGCCCACATAGGTCACCACAATGTGGACAGCTACACCACAGGCCACCAAGGACCTGCACCCCACCTAGGACACCCACAAAAGCTCAGCACCCTGGAGGAGAAGCTCTTGGAGGCTTTGCAGAAGGCTCAACAGGCTGGGCCCCTTTGCAGAAGGCTCAACAGGCTGGGCCCCTCCTGTCCCCCTCTCCTTACTGGGCGGTGAATTAACAGCAGCACAGCGGGGAGGCATTGGAAGGAGTGCCCACAAGAATAGCACCGTAAGGTACCAGCACCATGGGCCTCAAAGATGGTGAGGGGAAGGTGTGGCTAAGGATCACTCCA